GCTAAGCTAATCCACTCGGAGATTAATCGAGCATAATACGGAGCTAAACTACTCACACTCACGCGTGCAGTGAATATATAGCCCTTCGGAAAGTTGGAATCCTGCAGCGGCGCAGTTGCAGTTTGAGCGAAATAGCGAGTCTGCGAGGAGCAAAGTGGCAAGAGGGAAGAGGCCCAAGTGCCCATATATAGGTAATATATATGTAAGACGTCCAAGGGGCGGCGCGCGGAAGCAAAGAGCCTAAGGACGTATGCAGAAAGCGTCGTTGGAAAATTATTCGTGCAAAGAAGCGTCTGTTAGTTGGCACGCGTCAGGCGTACATATGTGCGAGGGCTAATGAAATCTCACTTTGCCGACGACGGCTTATTGAATTAAGCCATTGACAAAATATTCCTTACATGTAGCATACACGTGCGCGAGTGCCAGTCTCGGTATAGTTAATATCAGCTCGGCAGCAGGTTATATATGCGCGTCGAGCGATGACGACGTCGACGACGACGACGACGACGGCGACGAAGAAAACAGCAGCAAGCGCTACGTATATTGCAGCGCTGCCGCTGCTGCTTCTGGCTCTGCTATGGCCTACTTTCCCTTGACGAAGTGAATATAGCAGTAGCACAGCGCGGCAAAGCTGGCCGCGACTTTGATAAAGGCATGACTGGGGCTCTCTCTCTCTCTATTTCCCTCGTCCCTATACACATATACTTGACTGTATATATGTGCTAGTGAGAGTATAGCGAGAGAGAGCGAAAAGAAGGGAGAAGCTGCTAGGGTTGGCAAGAGAGAGAGAGAGAGAGAGTATATATTCAGCGAATTCATAGGCAAGCTCTAGCTAGCTAACAGCTAGTGCGGAGTCGACGAGAGAAAACCGGGTCACGGACGGCTGCTGCGCGAAGCCTACGTATACCGCAAACGTATAGCACATCAGCAACATATATAGCAGTACGTGCGTTGGTGGGTTTGTCGAGAGTTGAGAGGCCGAGCTCGAGCTAGCTGCTGCCGTTGAACGAGACTGAGGCAGAAAAGAATGGACAGGTCTCATTGACGCGCGTGCGACCTGTGCACGTGTGTGCGTGTGAGTGTGGCCACCGGCCAGCTAATGGATTCGCAATATATAGAGCCCTACTGAGCTCTGCGATCTCTACCGTGTTTAAGCTCGAGCTCTATCTTTCTCTCTCTCTCTCTCTCTCTCTCTCTCTCTCTTTCGCGCTCGCGCCAATCCTATCCTACGCGTTATACATCTACCTATACGTTTACTCTTCGTTGGCTTGATTAATTAGCGCGAAAACCGATGGCTACTCTTACCAGCGCTGCTACTGCTATATGTATAATCTCTCGGCGGGGATTCTGGCCGAGTGCCGCAATAGCGAGATGAGATAGCGAGAGAGAGTGAGTCTCGACTTGTATAGCGCCGAGCTGACATCGAGATTTAGCGAGCAACTCGAGGAGCAGCAACGATGACCGATAGATCGCCAGCAGCTCTGCCCTAATACCCTATCGCCTATTCATATCATATCGCTTGATGCATTGTCCACCGGCCTAATGTTATTCCTACCAATGCCCAACCAACCCTGTGCTAGTTCACCTATTCATCTTTTACACTGCTTCCTTATTTTGCCACTCAACCTTAAAGCAATAATTCATGTTTGTGAGAGTCCAGCGATTATAAATTGCGTGTAAGTATTTTTATCGCTAAAATGCATTTTTTTTACTCTAGACTTTAGAATGTCGCGCTTATGAAACGTTTCTCAAGAAAATATTTTTTTTCTGCCTTGCACCTTTAAACTACGATGATGTGTCCTGTGCACAATAGCAATACGTGTGCCAAGTGCATTTCTCGAGATTGCGACTTCGTACCCGACATTCTGCCTCTGAACGTATTCATATGAATCGAAGTCATATAAGACTGCGCAAGATTCACTATTGCATCTCTAGATATACTCTACACAACCATAATTTACACAATCCTGCAGACACGAAAGGTGAGGATTTTTATACATTTTACAAATAGGATATTTACTTTTTCGTTTGCCAAGCTATATCGGGCGTCTGCTGCAATTTCGTATCAGTCATATGTAAGTTTAACACTTTACAGGCTGAGTCATCTACATACAGAAGCACAACGCGTGTATCTGCAAGTGTCAGGTGCATTACCAAGCGTCGATGTATATATTCCGCGATTAAGAGCTAGTTTGCCATTTTGCCCTCTCTCCTCGACTCGCCGAGTTAAATCGAGCTCGATAAAGAATCAGTGGGCGCTATGACACTAGTTTTCGGTGGCTAGAGATCGAGGGGGGGGGGGGGGGNNNNGGGGGGGGGGGGGGGGGGGCAGCTCGAGCACCGAGCTGCATTTTTCTTTTTTTCTGTTTTGTGCGCAAAGTTGGAAAATTGTCAAACGTCGTAACTCGATCTCTCCCTCGAAGTATTTGTCTATTTCAGGCACGCGTACAGAGCCGCGCGTTCACCGACAATGCGAGGGACTGAGAAAAGGAGAGAGAAAAAAGCTATGCGAAACAAAAAATTTTTCTTTCTCATCCCTCTCCTTTATCATTCTTACGTCCTTTATTTATTTTTCGAGCTATTTCTGGAAATGTATGCGAGCTTCGCTACGCTCAAAGACATCGAGGTAAGCGAAAAAGAGCGAAAATAGGTAAAAAATAAAATAGCGCGTATCAACGCTCCAAATAGCACACTGAAACATAGCGGAGTTTTCTATATTTTTACGAGTAGATGCCCCCGTGTAGAAAAATATATATGCGAATTTTAAATATGCGCGAACACAACAATGAGACAGAGTAGCAACAGCAGCAGCACAGTTCACGACTTGGTCGCTGACTTTTTAATTGTGTTATCTTTCTCAGTTGTCGAACATTTAAACATTTTGTCTGCGCTTGCGCAACAACTGCAGTGGCAGCAGCAAAGTGTACAAGGAAGATGAAACGGATACGTGTGTACATCGGAGCTCGCAAGCTCAGCCGCGCTCGTATTAGGTGCGTCAAAGGTTATACCGATATTATATTTGCTCGGCAGAGAATGAACAGCTGCATTTGCTCCTTTGGCGCGTGCAGGACCACGAGTATCGCATTACTTTTTCCGTGTGTGCAGCCCCCGCTTTTGACAGAGCGCGAAAAGATGCGCCCACCCGGCTCAACGAGGAACGGCTCCTTCTAACTCTTCCAGCGCCGAGGAAGAATGAGCTTTAATACGCATCTGCGTCAAAGATCCAGTAATACGCGAGGAGAGGTAAAGGGACTTGTATTGGCTTAAACTTCGCTGCCTTTGATGTAGCCGATTATCAAGCACAATATGCGTAATAATCGTAGGACCTACGTCGACTACTTGTGGATAGTTTAGATTGATAGTTGCTTCGTCTGCATTCGAGCACTTTGTATAAAGTTACATGTGCGTGTATGTGTGTGTCTGCGTGTGTCTGTGTGTGTGTCTCATCGTAAATCGATGAAATGCAGGTCATTGCTTTTTAGAAACACATGCCTCAGTTACTCAACTAAAATCTAAGTCACTCAATGCTTAATTAATTGTACTTTAGTTACAACGTTTCGCCAATCAATGGCTATTAATACATCTTTCACTACAGTCTAATGCGTGAAATTCATCTAACAAGTGTGTATGATACAATTTTTTAGCTGTCATATCTTCTGTACATCTTTAAAAATTTCAATGATATAAAATAAAAACAAAAGAATAGAGCAGTCAAAGTAATGTCTTGTAGGTGTCATATACTGTGCAATAAAAGAGTGTTAAAATTACAAGAAAACAAAAAACAGATTAGAGGAAAAAGTGAAACAAGTCATCGTAGGTTAGATTTTTTAACGCAGCTCAGAAAAAGGGGTTTGGAATGTAAATAAATGTAACCAAGAAGAAGATAGAGAAAAAAATAGAGAGAGATTGTTGTCAACTTGTCCAAAATGTATGTCTGTAATACTCAATTTGTTTCTGAATAGAATTGGCAAACTTTTTTCTGCTATCTTTTCACTCTCTCAGATTATCTCATTGTTACACTTTTCCAGTAGCAGCCACATAATATTCTATATATGAACCCAAAACTGCGTTTGAATATTCATATGTATAGTCGCGACTCAAGTATAGAAAAACAGCCGTGCAGTGATACATTGCAAGGTAATATGAGTTATCATGATTAACGATACCTGTATAAAAGGTATGTTCTCTTGTAGTGTATGTATATGGTAATGACTTGTGTTGGTGTGTAATAGTAGCTATACCCTAGAGGATAACAATATATACTCTGCTGTTTGTATATGAGCATAACAACACTATTTTTTTATGTTTATGTGATATCCGAAAATGATAAACAATGTATGCTATAATATATATTTTATTTGCCGCATGTGAATACGATGCTTGAAAAACACACATATATATATATATATATATATACGCGTGCATGCAATGTATATTATTTTGCTTTCAGCTATGCGAGCGTATAGGAATTTTTCTCATCTCTTTTTTAGCTCATGTTCATGATTATTCGCCATGAACAAGACTTGAATAATAAACAGCCGAAAAAAAGTAAAGAATATGAGTTAGTGACAATAATAATATACATTATATGCGAAAGAAAACAAACTCAATCATATTTGCGCTCTATTCTAATAATAGATATATTACATATAGATATATGGTTATGTCGAGAGACGTCGGAGTGCTATATAAAAATATTGTATGATCACATTTTTTATTGCGAATTTGCTCGGTATTTTTTGTCATAGAATAAACTGATGATGAGATGTATAAGGAACATAATAAAAAAATGAAGATAAATAAAAAACCAATCAGGCATTCGCTTTTTTACAAATTACTATGCTATATGATTTTAACTTGATTATTAATTTTTTTGATTAAGTTTTATTTAAAAAGATGCTTTTGATTTTATTATGTATGTAAAAAACTTTAATTTTACTATTTCCTGATCGTAGTAATTTTTGGCTTTGCTTGCCTGTACTCGTACAAGAAATACTTACCATCTTGATGTCACTTATTGTGGCAATGCTTCGGACAAACAGGTTTACCCGGACAATGGCCGGCCCATCTGAAGGGCAAAAACAATAAAAAAGAGGTAGTGGTAGTTTCGTTTATTCCTCTTTAAAACTTTTTTTCATGGAATTTTTACAATCGATGTTTAGCGAATAGTTATTATTATTATATGGCTACAAACTACGTTATAGTAACAAAGTTTGAACTTCGCAAGTTAATGAAGAACGATACATTTTATATTGAAATAATCAACGCTCTCTCGACTTATTATTATTCGAATTATTCTTGAACTATTATTCCTACTCGAATTATTATCATCAAAAACTCGTCACACATATTTTATAATAACGATTGTTGTAGATACAAAAAAAAACATTCACGTTTAATATTGATAATAATAATATAAATTATGTAAATATAATAATAAACAAATAAATAAATAAATAATGATAATAATAATAATAATAATAAAATTTTATTCATATATGGGTCGCTGGTAAAAAACACACTCACATACGGACGGTGTGGCTTTTGAATATTATAAAATAGACAGAATGAAAAAAAGAGATAAAAAGAGAACTCATATAAATTTGCAAGTGCACACATAAAAATTGCGCGTTTCATACATTATGTAGGTATGTGTGAAAGCTTTTGATTTTCATCGTAGCACAGTTACGCTCACAAACGCGAACATCAGAGCTGTGCCTACAGAGAGAGAGAAATTCGAAGCTCTTGTATTATTATCTGCGTACAGGTGCAGTATAGTAGTACAGCCTCCCCTTCGTCGATTGTAATAATGAAGTTTCTATATCTCGCTCCGGTTACTGAAAATGTCTGTTTATTATACGAGAGACAGAGAACGTGAGTCTACGGATGTGTGCGAGAGAGAGAGAGAGAGAGAGAGATAACAGAAGAAGCTGACGGAGAAGAGGTAAGAGTGAGCGGTTTAATTGCCTTTTCTCACTCACTCCTAGCCTCTTACACCCTTCCACCTCTCTCTTTTTCTACACGTCAAGCATAATCTAAGTCTGAGCATTATCTGCTCGACAAGAAATATATCTCAAAGCTTTTGCTCAGTAGCCGCTTTTTGCGCCTGTATTAATGCAAACTTTGTATCAAGTTAAATAAACAAAGGCACGCCAACGATATGCCTCCATTTGGTCGGAACGGTCTCAAAGCATTGGCAAAATGCTCGCCTGAGCTATTTTCGAGAAAAGGGAATTTGCGCCAGGAAAAGGGGGAAAAAAGATAACGAGTTAGATATACGCCCGATGTGAATCAAAAATGCACCATCACCGAATGATTCATCAAGTCGCGCAAGCACGCATGTATAAACTAGTGGGTACATATATATATATATAGCACGTATGTAAATAAGGAAGAAGTACAAAAAATCGTCGCAGGTATAAAACTATGGGTGTATAGATCGCGAGCTACGCGAGAGCAAGCGAAAGAAAAGAGAGCGCGACAGATGCGGCGTTATAGTATAGCGAAAGTTTTGACTATCTCACATAGAGAGTTGGCTTGCAGCTTGCAAGAGGGAGAGAGTAAAAGCTTTTGTGTGTGCCAGTAGGTATGCTTGTAGCTCGCCGTCTCGTTTCTCTGCCGGAGCATTGAGATACACGTATACATATACAAATACAGGAACAGAAATGAAGTTATAGATATATAGATGCGCGCGCGCGATACGATATATAGCCCCTCGAAGAGAGAGAGAGAGAGAGAGAGAGAGAGAGAACTTCTTTAACGAGTTGTTCGACTCTTTTCGCGCTTGGTTGCTTCGTACAGAGAAGCAGCAGCCTAGAGCTTGTGACAATATATACGTATAAACATCGAATGCAATCATTTCTGTCTCTCTACATACAGCTCACTACGTCTCTGTGTACGCCTCTATTATCATTCTTGGCGTGCATAAAAGTCGTCGGCGGCGAATTCCTTTTTCAGCGCGTCGCGTACAGCGTTTGTGTGCGCCGTACATGCAGCGCGCGCACCCTATACGTCATTCACTTTGTAGTAATACGGAAAATATTCGTCGAGTGCAAACTTTATTCTCGAACAAGTAGCATAGCTCATCGACACGTGAATCCGTGTGCGTATGCGCAAAGCGTTTGCGCTTCCACGCACTGCAAATTTCTATACACGTAACTTTAATTAATTATATGGCCGTAGCCACGAAAGCGTATACATGTTTGTTGCTAGCGCGTACGTGTGCGAATGTGTGGGTGTGAGTGTGTACCGACTATACAGAGTAAGCAAGGGCGAAGAAGAAGACAACGACGACGACAGGCTACAGGTACATAGCGAGACTAGCAAGAGCGGCAAAGTTAACAACAAGTTTATAACCGCATTCAACGACCTAGACTCCGTACTTATACTACGACGTCTTCACTAGCGTCCCTGCAATTCTCGACCACGCATTTAACAAGTCTCTTCGATGCTCGCTGCAGTCGGCAGCAGCCACAGCCCAACAGGCGCACACAGACACCGACGCACGTCGCCGAGTTTGAATTCGCCAAGCCAACGGAATTTCGCTCTGCAGATTCCAAGTGCTATTCTCTACGGCTACGCGCATGTATGTGTACATCTAACATCCGCTCCTCGCAGCCCGCCTATAGTCCAATCGGATTCTCGTTTGCGACTCGCAGCACAGCCTGTATATAACGCAGCAGATAGCATCGAGGCTATAGCTATATATGCACGCGTAGCCCAACACACAGCAGCAGCAGCAGAGAAACGGACTCGAGTTAGAGAGGCTCTGAGAATTCTCCTCGTCAGCCATGTATATATGTATAGACTTAGCCCGCTAGAACTTGTATACGCACGTTTATTTGCTTGCGACTCCATCAAATCGAACCCTATACCCCCCAACCCGCGCAAAGCCTCTTCAACAGCGACCCAAAGACCCTCTAAGACGTATAGCATGCATACATTCATGTGCACGCGCGTAGCATATCCTGGCGTACTATGACATGGCACACACGCGCATGAGAGCAGTTCAATATTTTTACCCTGACGCGACGAGAGCTCGTGACCGAGAGACAATATACATTTCTCAAATCTCTTATTACGCGTCTGCGGATATGCAAATTGCAATAAATATTGATGTAGTCGCGCCATTTTAGGTAACGATCAAGAAAGTAGCTCTACGTAAAGCTCAAAATACCGATCCATGTGAAATATGTGATAGCTTTGAAATATACATCAATGTACATGCTTCTCTCTCTTTCACTCCCTCTTTTGCAATATACGAGACTTGGGTTTACGGGCATAAAGCTTCGCTGAAATGCAAGCTGTATATTGGAATGTCCTTTATTTACTAAGTTGCAAGGAGCCACGCTCCCGAACTTCTTTTAGTTCGCTTGGACTCAAAAATGAAAAAAGTCGTAGGTAATTCAGCAGTCTTTTCCATTCACAAATCAAGAAGTATGCTAAGTTTCATTAAAATTTCATAATAATTTCAATTTGGTAATATACTACCTGCAAAACTTTGAAAAAATGCAAAGGGCTAAAAAGTCATGGAAAGAGTTAAAAAAAGGTATCTATTTTTAAAACATTTTTTAATAATTTTTTTGAAAAATAAACATGGCCTTCTGGATATGACCATTAGACTGACAATAAAAAAATTTTTTAAATCGACGGGACGCCCCCTCAGAAGTTTCAAACCCCCCCAAAAAATGAGCTCTACCAAATTTCAGCCCATATGGTTGAAAAAAACCCGTATGAGTATAATACGAGAAAACGACTTTTCCATTTAAATTAATGTCAATCAACACCCGTCTTGTGGAACAGGTTTTTTTCAACCATATGAGCTGAAATTTATTAGAGCTCATTTTTTGGGGGGTTTGAAACTTTTGAGGGGGTGTCTCGTCGATTTAAAAACAAGTTGTATTTATTGTCAGTCTAATGACCATACTTCGATTTTTTTCATTTTTAAGTTGAAACAAACAATTTAAAAATAAAGTACTCCCTAACATATGTATTGAAAGGAAAAGAGAGAGATTCGCTACTTGCATAGTTCTGAAAAATGCCTGCTTTGCATTATTGCAAAGCTTCTAAAGGTTGGCTGTACCACAGGTACATGGCCTAGCTGTATCGCACAGGGGGGCATTTTATAAAGTAATATATTTAGCGATACGGCCCAGATGGCCTAGTGATAGCTCTCGGATGGAGCGAGAGAGTCAAATAAAGGATTTTCAACATGGCTCGAATATCCCTCTCTATATCATCTCTCCCATCGATCGCGCTCGCGTCATTTTCGACAAAAAATGTCCTTCGCTGTACCCCTCGCCTATGTCCACCGATATACCTTTTCACCGAACATATAACCTACGTGAGCTATAATTGGATTTCCCAAAGTTTATTTAGAAAGATAAAAGCTCCTGCCGTAGATATACCTTGTCTTCTTTTTTTTTCGCGAATCGATGACTAAGGAGAATGCGTCGACTTCGGTCGCTCTTGGGTAAGGCAAAATTGCTATTTGGGTCAGGATTTTTACACATGGAAACTCGGATGAAAAAAAAAATGGTAAAAAAGAAGAGAAAATTTCCGAGTCGATAGTTTTCACTGACAAACAATTGTAATTCCAACGCCCGAGTCAATCTAACTTGTCGCGATCGATTCGCTTCGGCTTTGCTCTTTTCGTTGCAATTATATAATCTTCTCCGATCCGATCTGGTGTACTTATGTTCGTACTGTTATATCCATATGGACGCGAGGCAGTCGAATTAGGCGTGTAAATCGGCACTTGCAGCTAGAGTGCGGAGCTATAAAATGTCAATGATTCGTTTTTCCTTGCCACGTTTGTGAGCGCAAAAATGCCGACAAATTAAACGCTAACACGTGTGCGCGGCTCGTCTGACTCGTAACGAAAATGCATGTAGTGGCACTAGCTAGCACCCCGGGGCCTAGACACATTCGAAACTCGAGAGGCTACACGATTCTTCTTTATTACAACGTACGAGCTTTGTCCACATCAAGCCAGCGGCGTTATGTATGTCTTGTGTGTGTTTTTATATGTTCAAGTTTTAACGCGGCTTTACTTTTACAAAAAGAGAG